TTCAGATAGTAAAAATAAACATCCTTATAGGGAAATGTTGGTGTTATGGGAGCAGTTATCTCCAAAAAATAAATGTCTCTATTATGATTGTATACACTATATTTAATTTTGGTTAAAGTGTTCTTAGTGCATTTATTTTCTGTCACGTCAGTGTTTTAGTGATGCTGCCTCCAAATAAATCCTAAAATAAAACAAATCCTTCTTTTAAAGAGATTTTCTTTGCAGGGTACCTCTGCTATCATTGGCATATTTTTCTGCTCGGGGAAGTGGGTCATGTGGCAAAGCCCTAACCCACTTAACTTGAATGGGTTAAGAATGCAGGAGCTCTTGTTTTTATCCTTACTTCACTTCCTTGTGTGTGTGTAAGTGTGTGTGCCTTCTTAACAACAACAAATCATACACGTGAAAGCCATCAGAGTCCAGATGAACAATGAGAAATATTAGTCATGATAGGAAAAGTTTACGGCAGAGATTTGCAGAAATCAGATGAGTTCTTCATTGGGTGTGTCAGTCAGAAATAAACTGAATAATTTTCATAACAAAAAAAAACACTACAAAATAAATCGTGTTCTCACTAGTATCTATCTATCTGTCTGTCTGTCTGTCTGTCTGTCTGTCTGTCTGTCTGTCTGTCTATCTATCTATCTGTCTCTCTTTTGTGCAGTGCTTATTTTATTTGTAAATAAAAATTATCAAGCATTTTTTGCGGCGACAATACTTGTTGGCGTGGCAAAACTTCAAATTGACTTATCACTATAAGAAAAAAAACAAAATAGCCCCAGGCCATGCTTTTAGTGCGGATTATGAAATTTGTTGCACTTGTATAACCCAACAGGACAAACAGAAGTCTCTTGGAGCCATGGTCCAAATCCCACAGGAAGTTGGCCGTTTTGAATCAAAGATGCCATTTTCTCTTATTGACTAATGTCGTATCTCAGGAATGTACTCAAACAGCTTTTGGATTACATACTTCAAATTCACTTTGCATGGACTTAAGGCATAGGGGATTGAAAGCTATCAGAATAAATGTCCTACATCAAAGCACATGGGCGTGGCCAAGCATCATAATGTGACCTCCAGACTTTCAACATCATGGTTTATAACCTCAATAAGTAAGAGGAGTACATATATTTTGTGTTATCTTGGTGTTTACCACAAACAGATTTGAAGATATCAGTTTAGCCCCACCCCCTGAGATCAGGTAGTCCCATGTTTCACTGTTGCATGCCCTTGATTTTCTCTGTGTTCTATACGTAATAGGAAACGCTAGAACTGCTGTAAGGAATGTCGGATTAAAGCCACATTGGCGTTGGCCTGCAGACGACCATGCATGGGTCCCGCAGTAGGTCACGATAGGCCAAGTGTCGTTGAGCTGTGAGGGCTGCCCAACAATGCTTGAGACTTTAAACGTTAAATGAAGTTGGTGATGGCAGTAGATTAGCAGATACCTTCCTCCAGGATGTGTTACCGCTAAATAGAGTGACGGGCCAGATGAAGCTACTATGATGAGAAAAATAAGTGAAAACATAAGTTAGCAGTTGAACTAACATGTATTGTAGAATTGAAGAGTAGAAGTAGAAGGTAACAGAATGATGAAAAGTGGTCCCTATGTCTTCCAGCAGGCTAAATCTATAGCAGAATACTGTAAATCCTCTAATATTGGCCTGTATTGCATTTACAGCCGGGTCTCTAATAATGGCCTATCTGGCTGTAGGCGGAGGTAAATATTGGCCGGACTCTTATACAGGCCGGGGCTGTAATTAGAACCAACGATGTTCCTGGGAAGTCCTCCAGAGCTTGTGATAGCAACATATAAGTACCACAGGGGGGCAATGTTTGCTAACGAAGCCAAGCCATTAGCATGGGAAGTCCCATCCTTAGCGCAGACATTGGTGCAGACAGGAGGTCAGCTTGTTTTGTTTTGTTTTTATGACCTAAATTGTGGAAAACAACTTAGCTTCTATTAGCTCATTTAAAGTAAGCTAGGCTACATGCTGGCAATGAATGAGTTAAAACTATTTAACAGGTCTGTCAAACTATATTTACCATTGATCGAATCAAATCAAATCTTCAAATTCAATTCATTTTTTGAGCATTAGCCAGACAATAATATCACATTTGGCAGTTCTTTCCAATTATAATCTTAACGCGTTTCTTAAATTGCTTAATTAAAATGCATTTTTCAAACCTTTGATTCTCTACTACGGGTTACATCCGTTGTGCCGAGAATTACCTCCTCTGTCGTGGGAGTGTGCATCTATGAAGGACCAACTCTGCCATATTTAAAAATAAATACAGAAATAAATAAATGCTCAATAAATGTATGAGCATACAATTAATTGCCAACAAAAAAGTGAGACATAAATGTATATAATGTATATAGCTTCTTTTTGTATTTGCCTTTGCAATATTTACCTTATTTATTTTTCTGTCCTTTATAATCTT